CTGTTCACCTTCTCTTTCGACCCTTGTTGTGTGCAGTAAAAATTTCGGCAGCACCTCTGCTTCACAACAAGAGTAGGATCTCAAACAAATTCTTGTTTCTCAGAGGAAACAAGAACCAAAAACAGTTATATATCTCATCGCTGTGAGATATATACTCTTCCTGTCATCAGTTCGAGGACTGAGTCGAGGGAATCCATGCCAAACTCGAGGTTCGACAGGATGCAACAGGGGGGTTCGAGGTGGCAGCGGCTAGAAGGGGTCAGGGGCTGTTTTAGGGTCGGGTAAGGGGCTGTTTTGGGGGTCGAAGGTCAGGGGTTTGGAAGGGGTCAGGTCAGGGGCTGTTTTGGGGGCGGGTCAGGTGTTTGGAAGGGGTCGGGTGGGGGGTTTGGTTGATCGCGTCAAAAGGGGGGTCTGGTTGAGATCGGACAGAGGAGGGTCTGGGGATCTGGGTGATCGGACAGAGGAGGGGCGGGGGGTCTCTGGTTGAGATCGCGACAGAGGGAGATCGGGGTTAGGGGGCTGCCGATTGATCGCGAGCAGCAAAAAGGGGCGGGGCGCTCGGGTGTCACGGGTGAAGCGGGCGTGGCGGCTAGGGTTTAGAGGAGGCTCTGATACCAAGTAGAAATATATGAAGAAACCCTAATTCATTATGAGATCTCTTGGGCTTTATATAAGCCCCTACACAACTTACAAATAAGTCCCTAACTAATACTAATATGTCAACACTAAATATACCAAAGTATTGGGCACAGAAGCTGAGGGAGATATAACTAAGAGGAATTGAGAGAGAAGTAGAGAAATTGAGAAACCAGAGGCGCTACCGGTTGCGACATGCAGTCACTGGTGAACAAGTGACATGCAATCGAAGGTGAAGAAGCTCAAGACTTGAGAAAGGTATGGTGGAGCATTGAGACTGGATTGATTGCTAGTTCTCCTATTTTGAGATTTATCTATGACAGATTCAGATGGAACGCCAAACCTAAACAAAAAAAATCTGACATGACATTGTTCCAGTACAATATTTGACACTGAAATGTCGTTCCATATATCGAAAATTTTCAAAATATTTTCTGACGAATCGCCAATAATTTCTCAAAAAGATTGATAATCGATATGTAAAACCTTTCTTGTTGTGGCAAGCCTATAATGACATTTTGGCCAACGTGTCAGATGATCTTCTAGACATTGAACGCACATGCACACACATATAACTCATGCGGTTTTTCTTTTATAAAAAGCATAATATTGAAAAGATGGCGAGTACTTCTATCAAAATATATCTAATAAGATGTCGTGCTTTTAATGTTGTTCTACCCTTCACCTACCTTTTAATACCCAACTTTAAGCTAAAGCCACTTTTATAAGGTGACTAGTTTTATTTTACTAAGCACGAAATTTGATAAAAATCTGAAGTTATAGGCTGAAGTTGACAAAAAAGGCTAAGCCAAACTCATCCTATTTCTTGGTTGGCAGTTAATGCGTGTATTACTAAATGGAGTTATTATGTCTAATGGAAATTGGCTTTGTTAAATGGGGGAAGTCTTCTTCTTTCCTCTGCATTCTAGTAAAGTGTAGAAATTCCTTTAAAGAATTATGTCTTGAGTTGCGTCCTGTGAAACATGTTCCTTTGAAAATTAAAAAGCATTCAAAACCTAATTCCACTGTGCAGCCTAACTTCTACTATTTCAACAATCCCCTTTGTATTATTTTATTATTTTTGTATGGCTATATAAGGGAGTATAGGGAGAGGGTTTAAGAGCATCAGAACTCAGTTGAGTAGAGAAAGAAAAATAGAGAGAAGAGAGTGAGATAGAAAAAATTCCTTTCTTTGTGTAAGTCTCTCGATAGAGAGTGGTCTCCTCTTATGTAATCTTCTCTTTGTGATTAGTGAAGTTCTCTGCTGTTCTCGCTCGTGGACGTAGGTCACACTGACCGAACCACGTTAAATCCTTCTGTACTGTTCTCGTTGTCTACTCTTGTATAGACATCTTTTGTGTCTGTGAAACCCCTCCGCTGCAACACGTCCTATGCTGGAGAATCATCAAGTGCATCCTATCCTCTGCCTATCTTCTTCATGTTTTTTTAACAACCACCAGAATGGATCCTACGAACTGTTGATAGAATTTGACGATCCTTCTTTTGGATAGGCATGAAAGAGGCAGGGGTGTTTGTTTAATAGCTCGGATGAGAGTTTTGTTAGAATCGGGTGTAGACCAAACTCACCTCCGCAGGCAAGCTTTGGGGGATGCCGCTGGCAAACTCGAGACGGAGGCGAGCTCAAGACGAGCTCGAGATCAGTGGCTTCAGGCGAGCTCGTGGGCGATGAGGTCCAGGCGGAGGTCCAGGCGGAGATCAAGGCGAGCGCGAGCGTGGGCGACTCCTTTGCAGGCGAGTTCGAACGAGTGGAACCGGCGAGCTCGACAGTATAGGCGAGCTCAGGTCCAACGATTCGTTGTAGGCCACCTTGTAAGCAGGCGAGGTCGTGGCAGGCGAACTCAAGCAGGCGAGTTGACACAGGCGAGGGCGAGAGCGCCGCAGCGGGTCGAACGCTCTAGATTGTCGACAGCCTGTCGACAGCTGGCCCTAGGGTTTCCCTATAAAAGGGAAACCCAGAGCTCCTCCCACGCTGCTTCTTCTCCTCGTCATTTCAGCGGCGACGACACTTTCTTTTCTCCGTTTTTTGTCTCCAGATCTCAACAGCGGTTATTTAAGGGGAGATTGAGAGAGGAAATTAAATGAAGAGAAATTAAAGAGGGGGTTCTCTTATCTCCAGCACTCGGTTAAAGAGGGGAGAATTAAAGAGGGGAATCTTCACTGTAGCTATAGTGAAGATTTGTAATTTTTGAGGAATCTCAAGTTTGAGATTTGCTCTTGTATTATAATTTCTTGTTGACTAATAAGAAATTTACTGTGTGGCTCCCGATGACGTAGGTAGTTGCCGAACCTCGTTAAACTTGGTGTACTTTTCTCTATACCGCGTTTCTGCTGTTTTAGGGGATTTGTGTAGCCCCGGCCGGTAAATTCCTAACAAGTTTGTACTCCAAAGTATAGTGGCAGATCCAGTGGCAGATCCAGTATCTCTAATTTACGACTCCAGCTTAGCTTTACTTGCTAAACGGTGGTGGAGATTCTTTATGGATAGCACTACACCTTAGATCCTCTTGTAAGGAGGAACTATATCAAAGTTGAATACCTTTTGATTTTGTATCTTATATCAATGTTAAATAGCTTTTGATTTTGTATCTTGTATCAATGGTTATGCTTCACCTTTTTGGCATAGTGTACTCAAAGCTTATTCGGCATTCTCGTGGATATGTCCATTAAGAGTGGCCATGGTCAGACCACGCGGTTTGGGTTGGACAATTAAACAGAGATTGATACATTACAACATAGATTTCCGGAGTTATTTGAGTTTGCATTGGAGCCCACAACTACATTTGATTGCGAATGGGTTTACTTGAATGGTATACATATGTAGGCCCTCCATTTCAAGAGTGAAATGCCATTACACTTACTGCCAAAATTCCAATCTATGCTTAATCTCCTCCATCAATTTACTTGCAAGGCTTCGCCAAACATTAGAAGATGGAAATTTTCTTCCAAGAACAACTTCACCATAAACTGTTTGTACCGTTCTTTAGTGAACGCTAATTTACCTTTTAACCTGGTATTTCCATTATTTGGAAAATAGCAACTCCTCTTAAGGACGAAATAGATATGTGACTCATCTATCTTAATCATCTTCTAACCAGTGACTATCTTTTCACACAAGGTATTGGATCGAACATTAACTGTGTGCTTTGTGGAACTATGGTAGTGACCTCACAACTTTTATTCCTCCATTAATGTTTCACCCTCTCAGTAAGGACATACTTCAAAATAAAGTTCAATCTCACATCTTGGCCAACTTCAATAGAGGAATTCTGGGCTTCTTGGCACTCGATACAATCCCCATTAGTAGAAGAAATGATTGGGATTGTACGGTCCTTGCAACATGCTGGCTCGTTTGGCAAGAATGTAATGAGCATATTTTCAACAAAAAAAGTCAGACTGAAGAAGATGTCAGCAAGTGCTTCATGCTTGGTGGAGTTGTGGCTTGGTCATCTTCTACTGCACAGAAGCAGCAGACGACCAGACGCAAGTTTCTAGTTTACACTCATCCCTCTATCTCTTTGTATTCTCATCTTTGGAAACCAATTATTCTTTTCTATCAATAAAATTTAGGCCCTAGCCTTTTCTTTAAAAGAAAACATATTTGCAAGCTTCAAATAAGGTGGAGAATATGCATTATTTGGGTCATAGGAAAACATGATTATTTTTAGTAGGAAGAATCATGCAGAATATCATGAATGTAAGTCATCCTAAAGGCCTTGTTCGGCATCAGCTCCGCGCTAAAACAACATAGCAGGAGCTACAAGGAGGGAAAAAATATTAATGCATCAATGGAACTTCTAGCTAAACAGAGCAAGTATAGAAAATGAGCCTAATGACACAGTATAAGATACTTGGGAGCTGCTGGAAGCATGTCAGTTCATTCAAATACCTCCTAAAAACCTGTGACCAGTTAGGCAATGTTCGACAAAAAACTCAACACACATTGAGTTTCCTCATTAGTTGTTGCATTCTCACCAAAATGAGTAATTAAAATTAAAAAAAGGGAAATGAACTCCGTAAGATATGCTACACCAAAAACAAGAAATTGGCATAGAGAAATATGCATCAATCTGACCATTAAACTTTACCTTGCTCATGAATCTTGGCATATCCTTATTCAAACATTTACTGAAACTAATGCAATATGTTTGTTGTCATCCGCATTCCTAAAAGGAAAGATGGAACTAAAACATAAATATAAGCAAACTTAAACATGCGGAAAAGGGAGGAAATTGCAACCAGGCAGATCATTCAGTTTTATAGTGTATTTGCAGTTTTATCTAGTGTTTACAAACTTTTATTAGAATAAAAGAACTTCAAAGAAACTTGAATATATAAAAGCTAACCTCTTCCGCAACATAGTCTGAACCAGCACCTGAAAACTCTTCATTCTCTTGTGCTTCCTTTACCGTGGAATTCTGTACATGCTCATCATCAACTGAGACAGGGAAGTTGGCATCTTTATGTTGCGAAACTAAGCTACTACTTTCACAGCTACTTCCAGCAATAGAGCTGTTGGAGAGTTTAGGAAACAAGCGAGCCTCTTCAGAAGGGTGTGTTGAATGAATCTTATCGCACAATCGTTCTGAATTCATATGAATTTCCCTTTCGAACATCTCATTTTCCTCTCTGCAAAATGTACATGCATTATGGAGATAATCTATGTTTTGGACTGAAGGTCTCCTCTGACTCATATTTCTAGCCAATGAAACACTTGGACTCTTATTGGGAAAATTCTGGAGATAAATTCTGTCACTGATTCCAACCCTCTCTCTTTTGCTAGGTGTATGGTTTCTACGAAGATATGGCGAATTTGGGAGAGATTTTGAACTAGATGAATTACTTGAGCTCCCCTTTCTCCAGCCATCCTTTCCACTAGTGCACACAGGGAAATCCCGTCTTGCATATATCTCATTTCTTGTTACTTCCTCACCTGAAACATTCTGAATAAACCTTGGCATCTCTCTATCAGAGACGAGCATTTCTTCCAGAGTTCCATATCCCTTATGAACAGATCTAACCTCCTGAATTTTTCGGATCAACTTCCACCTATCAGACAGTCGTTTTGTTGCCTCATTGCTAATTGAAGACTTAACTGAATAAGATGAGGAAGCACCGAGGCTATCAACACACTCGTTTACCTGATCAAAGATTGATTTATGAGTCAGATTTTCCATGCCTGACATATGACACGAGCTTTCATGTCTGCTGTACCCGCATTTTTCCTGGTCTTCTACCACTTTACGACCAGTACTTCCTGCACTCTTCAAGCGTCTAGTAATGTCTCTAGCAATTTCTCTGCAATGTTTCTCTCTCTGTCCCATAACTTCCACACTATCAGATAGTCTATGCCTTGCTCTCCCTACTCCATAAATATCAAAACTCCTAGATAGTGGAATCCTTTTTCGCCTTCTGAGACTGAAAGGATAATTGTCGGGGGATCTTGCAGATGGAACAGTTTTCATCGTTTCCCAGGCCTTCTCCAAAGTAGGTTTCAGAATAACAATTGGAATCTGAAACTGATTTTTAGTTTTTCCTTCATTTAATGGTTCTGAAGACTTATATGAGAGAGAGGAGCTATGTTCCTTGAGAGAGTGACTAAATAGGTCAGGTACAGGCTTCCTGCAAGAGCTCACGTCACGTTTTAGCAAACGAGAGAACCTTTCAGTAGTTGGTTCGGGTCTATAAGATAAGTATTTATCAGACTTACCAACTCTTGACGGCTTTAAAATGGTGATTTGGCTTGGGTGTGGAGGTGGGGAACGCTTTTGATCCTGGAGAAGTTTTCTGAATAAGGAATTGGGTTCTTGACGATTTCTCACAAAACGACTTTCATTGGTTTCAAGTTCGTCCGATGCATCATTAGATTCATCATCAACTGACAGATGGGCTGCATTTATGAACCTCTTTGCATAAGCCAGGTCAATATCACTTAATCTCAAGTCCACCTCACTTCGTCCCAAGCTTGATATTTTCTTCCAAGGTGGCCTAGTGTTTTGCTTTTCAACTTTAGACATTTCATTAACTTCAAAAACATCTATGCATTCCGGGTGCTCATCACTACTCATCTGAAGAGGATAAGCCTCATATACTCTATGCTTCTCGCGAAAGCCGACAGATGGCGCCGTTTGGATACTGCTTCCTTTTTCCTTGTGCTGTCTAGTGAAAACAGGAGGCAGCACATCAAGACCCATCAATCGTGCAACCACATTCGCTGGGGACCATCTATTTTCCATTTCTTTTGATAGTTGTTTGTTTATTAATCTAGTTGTCGTTGTTTTGCTGTCTTTCTTGAATGAGTCATGTCTGATCTCAGGATCAAACTGGGAAATTGAACAATACAAAGCTTTTAGAATTTATCAATGTAAGTCTATAAATGAGCATCATAATAAAACAGTGCTTCGTAAATCATATGGAAAAGGGGTTATGGAAAAATCCCAATGCATTTCATGGGTCTCTTTCAGATAGATTATACTTAGCAACAATATGCCAGTCAAACGGCATAGCATAATAGGAGGTAAGTGTTTACTATACATTATTCAATGACACCCAGCTATCTTAGCCCAAAGTTAAGTATGTCAATGTTTTATACATCTGAAAAGCATAATACATATGCCTGCCAAAGGGGAAAAAATGCAATTACCAAATTTTCTTCATCAATGGGAACCCTACTGCCTGGAGCAAAATCCAATGCTATCTTTGACAGATTAGTTTGCTTTCTCAATTGAACATTTCCTGAAACACAGGTTTGAAATATTAAAGAAAAGATTGTCAAATATAGTTTGCTAAAAAGAGCTAGCCACAATTATAGTTACAGAAATGTTATCTATGAACACTGCCATAGTGTTCACTGTTCAGTATTCACTACAATGAAAATATACAAAACCATTATTAAATTACGTAGAATATGCTTGACTAGGTATCATTTACTAGATGTTCCTCATTGCTTCTCTAATTCAGTAAGGTAACTGGGCAACTACTTGTTGAATCTCACATGCAGCAAGGACTTCAGTTAAAGGAGCTAAGGATTTAATTGCAACATGACCAACTTTAAGATAGCATAGTTCAAACCAATTCCATAATAAGCTATTGCTTAGCAAAAGTTAATTGCCAACCTTTATGGGAGAAAGATTTGCTTCCTTCCAAAACTGGCCTAAATAATCGCTAATAGATATTTGAAAAATCCAAGCAAGGTGCATTCCGTTAATTGGATGTTTAGTGGAGCAACTTTTTAAGGAAAGATCTTAAACCTTCGACTTTGAGATCAGAAACACAAGTCCAACAACCCATACAAGGAAATATAAAAAGACACTTCAAATGAGGGAGCATATTGGCTCGAAGAAGTCATAATCCAATAAACATATAATGTACATGTGAACAGGATTTACAAACACTAACAAAAAGGAGGAAACGACAATTTTAGATAGCTTCGAGCACAAATGGAGAAATCATAGAAAGTTATCATGTATTGAGTTCCAGTAGTAGAAAAGCCAACATGAAGTACAATAGAGGAAGAGCTTTCTTTTATGAAAGAATGAAGCTTCATGAATACATGAGATGTACATGAACAGGAAAAACATTATAAATACAAATGACTGAAAATCATCACCTTTAGCCTTCCAAACTTAAAACAGATACTGTAAAATTGTCATGCACATAGGCCAAAAGAGAAACATATCTGCAAACTAGATTAAAGTTATCAAACTTTAATCCAAAGTATTAGCACAGTAATCCAAAGTAATAGCACAATATTACGTGATATACTGTTGCTGGACCGATTTATTAAGTTATCAAACTATCAAACTACTTGTACCATGTTTCCTCTTTATGGAAAATAATTAAAGATCTATGTGTGTGTCTGTGTGTGTGTGTGTATATATATATACATACTGTTGACATATTAGTATTATTAGGGACTTATTTGTAAGATTTGTAGGGGCCTATATAAAGCCCAAGAGATATCATAATGAATTAGGGTTTTCATTTCTTCATGGTATCAGAGACACCAAAACCCTAGCCGCCCCCCTCCTTCTTCCTCACCGGCTGCCCCCCGCCCCCCCCGCCCAATTACCTTGCTCTCAGTGCGATCAACGAGCCCCCCTCCCTCCTTCTTCCTCGTCCGGACGCCCCACTCAAGCCATCGGAAAGCCCCCCCCCTCCTTCTTTCTTCGTCCGATCAACTCGAGCCCGCCTCCCCCTTTTTTAACCCCTGTTCTCCCTCTGTCGCGAGACCCGAACCCCCCCTGTTCTCCCTCCTGTCCGAGACCCGAACCCGACCCCCGGCCCCTGTTCCCAGATCCGAACCTCCCTGACCCCTGTTCCAGAAGCCGAACCCCCCCCCCCCGACCTCTGTTCCCAGACCCGAACCCCCCCCCACTCTGTTCCAGACCGAACCCCCCCCCCCCTGTTTTTCCGATCCCAAACAGCCCCCCCCCCCCTCAGACCTTTGCCGCCGCTTGCTGCGCTATGCTGGACCTCGAGTTTGGCATGGGTTCCCTTGACTCAGTCCTCGAACTGATGACAGGAAGAGTTTATATCTCACATCGATGAGATATATAACTGGTTTTGATTCTTGTTTCCTCTGAGATACGAGAATTTGTTTGAGCTCCTACTCTTGTTGTGCAGCAGGTGCTGCCGAAATTTTTACTGCACACAACAAGGGTCGGAAGAGAAGGTGAACAGGTGGTGGGTCTGAAGCCTATTCGATGGAGGAGATCATCAAGAAGTTGAACCCCGCGGAGGTGTCCACTTTGATGAAGCTAATGAAGTTGTCGGCTGGGGAGAGTGCGACAAAACCATCGAAGAAGTTGGAGCTTCCGACCATCGATCTGAAGCTTGATGGACCGAGTACTTACCTGAGCTGGTCGCGGCAGGTGAGATACACCCTAGCAGGGAGGAACCTGGAGGGTTACTTGACAGGAGAGGCGACAGAACCGGAGGAGGACTCGGAGGGAAGAGATGAGTGGAAGACCACTCATATGTTGGTGTACATCTGGCTTCTCAACTCGTTGGTCCCGACGATCGCCGCCACGGTAGATGGCATTGAGAAGGTGAAGGACGTCTGGGAGAAGTTAAGAAGGACGTATGATGGAGTGGGGAATAACCTGCGGGTATTCCAGATTAAAGGAGAGATCGACGCCACAGTCCAGGGTGAAAGGACTGTACAGGAATATGCTACAGAGTTGGAACGCCTGTGGCTGGATTATGATCATTTCTCTCCCCGGGCTAGCTGCAAGGACCCGGGATGTAAAGAGCGGGAGGCCTTTCTACAAGAGAGGACTATGGTGTTTCTTAAAGGATTGACATCAGAGTTCGCTCAGCGAATTGCATTGCTCCTAGCTCAGCCGAAGATTCCCACGCTTGAGGAGGCTATCTCTGCTATGATCCAGGAGGAGACTCGCATTCGGCTGCAGGCGGGGACAGGTGGACTTCCTGTGGTGAAGTCAGCACTGGCAGCCTCTAGCAGCACTGGATCTAGGGGAGAGACCCGACAGTGCTATAACTGCGGTGCGGTGGGTCATCTACGGCATGCTTGCACCAAGCCATCCAAGGATGGAGATTCGGGTGGACGTGGACAGTTCGGAGGTCGTGGTCGTGGCCGTGGGGGTCGACGTGGTGGAAGAGGAGCAGGGAATCGGGCAAATCTGACAGTAGCAGAAGAAGAAGAAGCTGAGGTGGTCTTTACAGAGGAGGATCGTGCTCTCCTCACGATACTCAGGAAAAAACAGCAAGTAGCAGGGGATGGAGATTTGAGGAATGGGACTGCGGAGGCATCTACTTCGTTCTTCGTCAGAGGCAACACTGCTACCTATGCTCATCCGAACAAAGGTACTGATGACATACATGCTCTTGCTTCTATGTCTCCTGACAGATCATCAGCATGGATAGTCGACTCCGGTGCGTCTTGTCATGTGACAGGTAATGCTAGTGAGTTCTCATCATATACTCACTTAGCATCGCCTGATAGTATTCAAACAGCTGATGGTACATTTCAGCCGGTGGTTGGTAAGGGTACAGTTGATTGTACTGGTTCTGTAACTTTGTCCAATGTTTTGCATGCTCCTTCTTTTCCAGTCAATCTTTTATCTATTAGTTCTATCATCCTCCAACTAAAATGCATCGTCTCTTTTGATATTCCCAAGGTAATCTTCCAGGAGAAGGGGACAGGGCGGAGACTTGGGACTGGCACATGGCGTAGTGGACTGTGGTATCTGGATCGTGAAGGGCTGGATTCAGCATTGGTGTCAGTCATAGAGGAAGCAGGAGTAGGATCTAAAATGAGTGCTGAAAATGAGTTAATGCTCCATCACCAGCGTTTGGGACACTCATCCTTTAGTGTTTTAGGTAGATTGTATCCTTCTTTATTTGAGAAAGCAAATAAACAGAAACTTGTGTGTGATGCATGTGAGTTTGGAAAGCTTACTAGAAGCTCTTATGTTAGTTCTGGTCATAGAAGTTCTCATGCATTTGACCTGGTACATTCAGATGTTTGGGGGCCTTGTTCCACAAGTTCTATGAATGGATACAAATATTTTGTTACATTTATTGATTGCTTCTCTCGTGTTACTTGGTTATACCTGATGAAGAATAAGAGTGATGTGTTTGGGTGCTTCCAAAATTTTCATAAGACTGTTCAGACTCAATACGGAGCAGTGGTGAAAGTATTGAGGTCAGATAATGGGACAGAGTATACCAACAGAGCCCTTGAAGAATATTTGTCAGCTCAAGGAATACATCACCAGACAACCTGTCCATACACTCCAGCACAGAATGGGGTAGCGGAAAGGAAGAACAGACATCTTTTAGAGGTTGCTAGAAGCATGATGATCTCTATGAATGTCCCAGAGACATTATGGGGACAAGCAGTATTGACCGCAGCAGCGTTGATCAACAGAATGCCCTCGAGAGTGCTGGATTGGAAGTCTCCGTGTGAGATATTGAAAGGAGATAATGGTGGGATCCTTCCACTCAAAGTGTTTGGCTGTGTGTGTTTTGTGAAGGACAACAGGCCGTCTGTCGGGAAGCTTGCCCCTAGAGCTGTGAAGTGTATCTTTGTGGGATATTCTGCTACTCAGAAGGGATATGTTTGCTGGAGCCCGGTGGAAAAAAGGTTGTTTGTGAGCATGGATGTGCACTTTCGAGAACTCGAGCCATATTACACTCAGAAGGTAACTTCATCTGCTGGTAACTCGTCCAATACTAGAAGTATGGGGCGAGAGGAGGAGAATGGTGAGAGACCGGAGAACAATGTGGAGAAATCCATTTCTGTATCGATTCCTTGGGAGGGCGAATTGGTTGAGGAGGAGTTGGTTGAGGAGGAGCCGGAGAATCACGAAGAAAAGGAACAAGAGACAAGAGGTGTTAGGCCCACTGTTCAGGGGGAGCTACTAACCTATAGTAGGAAGGGCAAACAAATTGGAGAAACAGTACCTACAGTGCCACTAGTGCTGCCAAGTCTCTTGCCAAAGCCCACCCCGACTCCTGAAATACCTACACCACCACCAATTTCATCCCAAGGTGATAACATTCCTACTGATAACATTCCTCTCCCTACTCCTCCCACACCAATATCAGTACGGAGGACTACTCGCAGTAATGCGGGACATCCTCCCGATAGATATGGTTGGGATCTTGCCCAGTATGTATCATATTCTAGTATCCACCCTGCATATGGAGCATTCATTGCATCATTGGACTCTGTTACTGTACCTAACAATTGGCAGGTTGCTAAGAAG